GGTGACGGAGCACTGGAACAGGCTGCCCAGGGAGGTTGTGGAGTCTCCTTCTCTGGAGATATTCAAGACCCGCCTGGACAGCTACTTGTGTGACCTGGTGTAGGGAACCTGCTTTAGAAGGGGGGTTGGACTCGATGATCTCTGGAGGTCCCTTCCAACTCCTACAATTCTGTGATTTTGTGAAACTTAGGTCAACTCCTCTTCTTTGGCAAGCAAATGAATTTCAGTCCAAAACTTACAATGAACAACCACTCAAAGATGCATCATTTCATCATTTTCCAATTCTGTAATTGTTCACACTCGAAAAACCTTTCCAAAGTGGTTCTACAGGAGTCAGTTTAAACTCTCTTACAAACAATTACATTTAAAGGACTTCTGGGCTGATCTGTTCTAGATTAATTATATATGGAAGTATAGCCAGTCTGTTTTTCCAAGGTGGATTCAAGACAATAAGAATTTCCAGTCATGATTTATCTAATTAAATGTGTTTTATTTACCATGTTTTTACTTAATCTTGCTCGATTTGCTAATTGAATATTTTCTCAAACCAATTTTATCGCAGTTCTTCAATAGCTTTTTTTACCAGGTAGATAGAGTAAATATGATATTCAGGAGTGTTAGGCTTTTAGGAATTGATTTCTAAAATTCTCTTCTTCCATGGTATATCTCAGCTAATTCAACTGAACTAAAATATATGCTCTCTGGAGCATAAAGCAAATGATGATAAAAATGGGGAAATGTCATTATTGAAAGATAATATAAAATATCTTGATTTTTCATAAGTAAATGTAAAGATGCTGAAAACATTAATGATAACTAATGAGAAACAGAATCACATGAGCTGTGGAAGCTGAGACAATTTTACTGTCATTATCTCAAACACAAAGAAAACAACAGGCCTGGTTTCCAAAGGTAACAGCCTCAAATTTTTGTGTTTGTAGCCACCTGCCTTCTCTTAGCTACCCTCAATAACAATGCAGTTTATTGCCAAGCTTTCTTGAGAGGTAGGAGATTGAAAAACTATTATGCTACTATTTGAAAATTGGTGAAATCCAATTTTGTTCCTGCTGTGGGGGTGGCAGGCAAGACTCTTGCTGCTGTAAGTTTTGCTGGCAGCAGCTATCAATATGCACATGGCTGAGAGACCCAAGTGCTATTCAGGGGCAAAGTATATAAACATTTGTATTACGACAGTTACTGTGGGATGTGAAGTACCGTGTGTTGACACCATGCTTTTAACCTGCATTAGAACAGAACAAAGGGATAAACTCAGATTTTTAATGTCACTAATTTATTTGGGGCAGTTTATGGGCTAATGATAATAACAGGATAATTTGCCTCAGATGAGGAGCTGGATTCTAATCTTTCATAATACTATAAGATGAGGCAAAGACAGATGTTGCTACTTTTTCACAGCTTGATGGGATGAGTCTGCAGCTACCTAAAATTTAAAATTTTCACTTCTAACAATACATTCCATTCTGATGATGAAAATTCTTTTTGCTAAATTTGAGCAAAACTTTTTAAGTTTTAGTAAAAAAAAAAATGGTTTAGAAAGTGGAAATTTCCTCATATAAAATCCAGAAAATATGCAGTTTTTCAAGCACTCAAAGAAAATGCTTTTGTAGTGATTCTTACATTAATAAAAGCTTATAACTAGACACAATTTTTTCAGATGTTATTTAATTCAAATCAAAACACATTAATTGTTGTCAATTGGTTCAGATTTAACACAATAATGATTATCCATAGTGGAACTGCCCTCATACTACTCATATGACTAAAATTAGTAGCTCACATCTTACACAATCAAGTAGCACATTTAAAAACAATTCCTTGGACATTTGTTTCCTCAGCAGTATGCTTGGAGACTTCTTGGAAAGAAATCTGTTTCCCAGCTCCCAGGTTTATGCCTATATCATCATCTTAATGTTCATCATTTAGGAGAACTAACTGTCAACAGGACCAATTAGTGCCATTCTAAGAAACTACATAGGAGTGATAAGTACGGAAAACCTTGAGATTAACATTACTGAGGATGTATGCTCTGTTTTTCCAGCACATTGAAATTTTATTTAGCCAGGGATTATTTTTCCTCTCTCCCTCTAATATTTTGACAAGATAGAAAAATAGATAACAAAGGGAAATAAAGTGTAGAGCTATAAAAGAAAAAGAAAAGAAAAGAAAAGAAAAGAAAAGAAAAGAAAAGAAAAGAAAAGAAAAGAAAAGAAAAGAAAACCCACGAACAACAACAACAAAAAACCACACACCAGAAAACAGAAAAAGAATAAATCTTGTCTATCTTGGGAAATTAAGAAGGAATTATATGAATTATTTTTTATACATCTAGTTTTTTGGCATAGTGAAACCTGAAAAATGAAGTCCTCTCTCTGTACAGCTTAGCTACTTGCTAGGCAGCTTGGCATCACTGACATGCTTTCTCTTAATCCCACAGTGGCTATAAACAATAACAAATGTGTTTTTGCTATTGCAAGCAACATACTCTTTCCTACTTTATATGTTCCTGGTTAGTATCAGAAAGAAGCTTGAATCAGACACAGCTTCCAGAGTCTCTGGGGCTGAAAAAATATCTTTTTGATTACTGAGTGAAGAAAATAATAAAGAGTAACACACAATGTAGAGAGAGCTTTGATTCTCAGTAGAGACTATGGATACCTGTATTTTTCCTTTAAAGTTAAGATGTACTACAGCAAATCCGCTGCAACTGTGATGTTCTAGCAATACACTGAGAGACTGAGGATATAGTATTGTCTTTTATATACCTAAGGATGTTAGCAAAGTATTACAACGGTTACAATGCCAAACTTTCAGGTTTTAGGAAATACCAGAATTAATACTGCCTGGCATTGATGTAATAATGGTGGCAAATGGAATAGGCATCACACATTTTGCCATCTATATAATGACAGGGCTATAGAGATACTCAGAAGTCCTGAACTCTTGTCTCATTTCTGTGACTGGATGTACTCTAATGGTTACTATGCTTCTATTCTGTATCCATGTCTGCTCACTCTTTCCTCTTCCCTGCCTGCTCCAGCATTTACAGGATGTACCAGGTGTGCTTTCCCAACACACTGGGAAACACACTGAAACATAGGAAACTTGAATGTATTTTGGGAGGCATCACTGTTATCAAGCACATGGTCTATGTACAGTTGTGTCCAGTACCTATTCAAGTGCTCCTTTAAACAAGACTCTGTTCCCTGGGTGGAAGTACCAGTTGCCTACTGTTGCTCTGAATAAATTAGCATTGATTTGCTGGGCAGCTGGCCAGGCACCAGCAGCTTTTCTGGAGTTACAGCTCATACCTTTCACACAACAGTGCTGATAAAGAAAGCTTTCCACCAAGCCCTATTTTTCTTTCATACTATTCTTTTTAAGCTTTTTCTGTCTGTTGGTTTTTGCTTTGTCTTGGTTTTGTGGTTTATTTGTGGTTTTGTTTTGTTTTCTCTAAAAACCAGGAGGAAAACTCTTCCACACCACCACTTCACCATTACCCAGTCACATACTATGGTCATCAGCAACAGGTAAGCAGCTGCACCTGCTGGAAATGTCTCATTGGAGTGGTAATGCCACAATGTCTGTTGTTGTTATTCACTAAAGAATCTAGAGACCATTACTAATTGCACACAAACTGCTCTCTTTAAGAAACCCTCTCTAGTAAATGTTATGTTAAAAAGGAGCACTGTAAGGTAGAAGGGCTTCACAAATTCAAAGGCAGCTTACCCTGTTTGGGAGCCCTGATAGAGAGATTGTACCCCTGTCAGCAGACTTGCCCCATTTTTTTTTTTTTTTTTAATCTTCCCAAGACTGGACTAGGGAGGATGATGGGCAGGGAGGCTATGCTCTTATGGAGTTGTGCTGAAGTTTTCTTCCCATCTGCACCATGCCTAGGCTGTAGGCAATCTTCATGGGGATTCACCGCCCTTGGCTGCAGCCATGAGAGGCCCAGCTCTCCCGATAGAACCACACAGCAAGCATCTCACAGGAATCCACAAACATGGTAACACCACAAGATACGGTTTCTCTCATCAGAGCCCTACCATCTTATTATTATATATTATATATTCTATGCTTGGATTGGACAAAATGTCCAAAACATCATTACTGCTTGCTGTGTATCCTCACTGATATTTTTTTATTTGAAGTAATTAATGATTAACGGAGGTGCTCGGTGAATCTTGTTCAATGATACTGAAGAGAACAAGGAGCAGACAAGGTGAATGTAGCAGGGTCCTCTTGTAGCACTGTAAGTACTCTTTCAATATTTTCTTGGATCATTTAGATATATCAGCTCAGGGGTTTGTGTTGTTGCCTGGGAAGGAAGTGTTTTCACATGCAAGTAATGTATGCACAACAATTTGTTATGAAAAGATTCAAAATATGTCAAGGACAAACAAGAACTTCTTACTAGCACAGAAGATACCTTATCCAATAAATAAACGTTTTGGAATCAGTGAAGATCCATATAGAGACTTTGCTGCCACAGTGATCCGATATTTTATCTTTGAGAAAATGGCTTATTTTGTACTTTGTGCCTTAAACTGTACGATATGTGTTTACATCACATTTTAGTTTAACACTAACATATTTCATTATCTATTTATCTGAGTAAGAGAGAAAGACTAATAGAGCTCCAATAACAGCAGTATCAGGTATAAAAATGGCTCCCATCTCTTTTCTCTGGAGAAAAGTTCATAATGTTTTTTTGTGTTAATTGTGATTTTAAAACAATGACGAACAAAAAAAACCCCACTTCTACATATATCTATTTTGCTGGTTATTATGATCAAAATTTTTCCTTTTGTGAGAGTATGTGGTCATCACAGTTCATCTGGAGACATATTCATTCAGGGGTTTGCTGCATGAGGAATGTGAAACAAAAGGGAGGGATTTTTGAGAACAGATGGTTGTACTTTGAGAGCTCTTCATTTGAGTTGGCTAAAATATGCAAGCATAAAGAAATTTATTTCCCTGCCATGTTTGGTGTGTTTATTTATTTTCCAGGAAGGAGTAAAAGAAAAATGAAACCCACCTTCTCCTTGTGTTTTCTGCTGGCTGGTTTGTATTCTGTTGCCCAGGGTCATCAGCGTCCTCGCTACCACAATAAACAGGACGATTCTACAGGAGCACATTACCCAGGTAGCAGTTCTCATGGGGAAGGAGTTTTTCCAAATAAAAACAAAACTTTTATCAGTGTAGTTCACAGCAATACTGATTTTGCATTTTCATTTTACAAGCTGGTCGCATCTGAAGAAACCAATCAAAATATTTTCTTTTCACCCATAAGCATTTCTGCTTCCCTTGCAATGCTGGCACTGGGTGCCAAGTCAGCGACGCTAACGCAGATTCTGGAAGGGCTTGCCTTTAACCTGAAAAAGACTCAGGATCAGGAAATACATGAAGGTTTTTGCCAGCTCCTCCACATGCTGAACCGTTCGGATAGCGATCTCCATCTAAGCCTGGGCAATGCCCTTTTTATAGAAGAGACACTGAAACCACTACAGAAATTCCTGGATGATGCCAAAAGCTTTTATCAGTCTGAAGTCCTTTTTGCCAACTTTAACAACTCCTCTGGTGCTGAGAACCAGATCAACAGTTATATTGAAGAAAAGACAAATAGGAAAATTGTTAAACTAGTAGAAAATCTTGATCCTCTCACCACAATGGTTCTTGTTAACTATGTCTTCTTTAAAGGTAAGAATTACTGAAGAGTACAAAGATTGTAACTTAGACACACTGCTTATTGCAGAGAATGAAAGAAGGAAACTGCAATTTGAGTATTTATTTTGAGGAAAATATGTTCAGTATCTAAAAACTGTTCCAATGAAATATGTACATGTATTAACAGTAAGGATGTCTATGTCCTTACTTGTTTGAGTAAAAGACTGAATTGTTTTTAGAAAATACTGTTGTTATACTTGGTAAATTATTTAATATAATGATAGACTCATGATCTAGTGAAAGATGTTTGCAGTATTATTTCTCTGTAACTGTCTTCAGGCATCTAGGAAATAGTTAAACACCAAAGGGTGCAGTAATATGGAAAAAAATGTTTGCTCTAATCAAAGGGAAAGAGTGGGACTAGATTCTATTTTATTCATAATGAAAATTTGTCTTTGAATTCCATTGAATTATTTTTCTTTTTTTAAATCATAAGCTCACTGGCAGAAACCATTCAGTGATTCATACACAAGAAAAGAAGATTTTTTTGTGGATAAGAAAACATCTGTAAAAGTTGACATGATGTATCGGAAAGGTTACTACAGAAATTACTTTGATGAAGAGCTATCCTGTTGGCTGGTTCAGATTCCTTACAATGGAAATGCTGCAGCATTATTTGTTTTACCTGATGAAGGGAAGATGAAACAGGTGGAAGATGCTCTTTTAAAAAGAACTGTGTCCAAATGGGAAAAACTCCTCCAAGATAGGTAAGAGATTTTCATAGTGTGTGAGATCACCACATTATAGTTTAGCAGTCAGCAAGATGGAGCTTGAAAGGCTAAGTTATTTTACTGAACTCTGTTCGCTTATATGTCCCTCTCTGTGTGGGACTTCCCCTTTCTTAGCTCAAAAATGAAAAATACATCTGGATAGTGAACAGGGCATTGATCTCTTTATCCTCAGCATCGTGGTGATGAAGTTAACAGAGACTTGTTTTATATGGGCATTGTGAAACTTAAATGGAGTAGCTATTTCTGAGGTATTGGGTATTAGAGTGGTGAGGGCCAGTTGGGATCTGTAGTGTTGTGCGTGAAAGATGAATTTTACTAATTTACTATTACTGAAGCTGTTTCTGTGCTGGCCTAGGCCCCGTTTTGTTCAAACAGCCTTAGGACAACAAGCCATGATCTTATAGGATGCCTACTGCCTAGTGAGGCTCTGTTTGTAGCAGAGTTTATATTATAGTTGTGTCTTCTGTGAATCCTTGAAACCTACTGTGGATGTAGAGGTTAACATGGATTCATGCTGCTCCAATTCTCTGCATTACATAACTATACTGGTAGAAAAGGCTATTTGAAACCTAACAGCTGACTTTTGTCATTTAGGAAAAAATATAAATGAGAATTGTCACTGAGGCGAAGCTGTTGAGGAACATTACCTAGATGACAATTTGTCCCTTTCAATGTTATTTGTTTCAGAAAAATACACCTACATATTCCAAAACTTTCTATTTCTGGTACCTACGATGTGAAAAAGATAGTCAGAGAAGTGGGTATAATTGATCTATTCACTGAACAAGCTGATCTGTCAGGAATTACTGAGGATCCTGGACTGATGGTTTCAAAAGTAAGTCAGCACATGAAATACAGTGATCACAGAATTCTTCTATTTCTGGGAATCCATCACAAACATAAAATGAAAAGCTTACCCCAGTGTTTCTGAAGCAAGATTTAATCATAAGCATCTGCCACAAAGACAAACATACCTTTCCTAAAACTGAGGTCAAACACGCAGATAAGGGGTTACAAACACATGGATCAAGAACAAGGGAGACATACGTATTATTAGATGTTCTTTTGGATACTAAACAAAATTATCTATAGGTAGCACATTAATTTTGCCCTCTAGTAGAGGGCAAAAATGCTATTACTCTTGCCCTTCTAGTGCTCTAAAGAAAGTTATTTTTTTCATCTGGATGATAGGGTAGATTTCTGATAGCACGTGAAGCTGCCAAATGTAAAACTAAGTCCAGGCTAAATTGCTAGCTTTCTTTACTTCCAGAACTTCTCATCATCAGTCATCTTGAGTGCTCTTTGGCCATCTGCTGCACAAAGATTGCTCTCTGCACTGCCGGTTGATGGAGGCTTTCAGGGCTGATGTGATTGTTGATTGAGTGGGCAGGGAAGAGCTGGAGATGAACTTCCCCAGGTTGCTGCTGCCAGATCCCATCCCAGGCAGGTCTCCCTCTGCAGGTTGTTGTGCTTTATATCCTCACAGGTGATCCACAGAGCTGTGCTAAATGTTCATGAGAATGGCACTGAAGCAGCAGGAGTCACAGTGAAGGAGATTACATGGAGATCTGGTGATTTTTCTCGTCCTCCTCGAGTCAGATTCAACAGGCCCTTTCTCCTGATGATTTTGGATAAATATGCTCATACCATCCTCTTCATTGGGAAAATTGTAAATCCTCTGAAAAAAATAACTGATTATCCAGAGGACAGGCACTTCTGCGCATAGCTACTTAAGATCCTTTGATCCGGTAATAACTGTGTACACCAATGTGTACTGGTGTCTTTCAACTGATGTTATTATGTACATTTCTAACCCCTGAAAAGCAAGAACTACTTTTTCTTGCCCAAACGACACAGGTATTTCCCCTCTGGTCTACAGCTCTATGTAGCTTGTATTGTCAGCACTGTATGAGTCACTTTTCAGCTGTTCTGTAATAACCCCTTCCAGACATTCTCCAGTATATGAGGTGATCTGCAGTCTCTTTCATGGATCCATCTTTACATGGATGATGTAGCTTTTACTCTACACCCACAGTGTGTGCAGGGGAAACTGGGAGAAGAGAAATGGGGAAAAGAGTTGGAAGGTGTATGTCCTGTCTGTTTAATCCACTGACCTTTGATAAATGATGTAAAATGCAGAGTGTCTTAATTATTGGAGTGACTTTTCATTTTTTTTTCTTTGTTTTGATTGTTTGTTTGTTTCGTTGGTTAGTTGGCTAGGTTGGCTTGGTTTTTATTGGAATGAAGTTACATCACCACTGACTGCAATACTGGAATACACAATAATGTAAAGAGTTGACCATTACGGTTGGTTTAGACTGTGGAAGTCCTATTCATGCAGTCAATAAAGTTGCTCTTCATTGCTGGGGTATTGACAATGTACTGAGATAAAATAAATGGTGGGACATTCCATGTTATAGCACCGGTTTCTTTTTTATGGATTTGCTGTCACTTTCATATCCCATTTCTCTTACTGATTCCAACTTCGTTATCACACCTTCCAGATAGATAAGTCAGACTGTGGTACAGAAATTTTTATCTTCTCACAGGAAACAGCAAAGCTTTTCTAGGGGCTGTTAATCTGTTTTGAACTCAGAAAGCTATCATAGACATGCACACCAAATATAGGCAGTATTTGATAAATCACACTAGATTTTAGCAATGGATTGATACTATAGAATAAAAACATATAGTTACTTGAAATTTGTACCTTTTCTTTCAAAGATTCACAAGTCTAGTGTATTGCTAGTGTGTTATTTTATTAAAATATGCAAAGCTGTTGAAAGCAGTTAAATATTTATTAGATCTTTCACTACAGAATATCTCAAATTGGTAAATAAAAAAAAAAATACAAATAGCAACTTTGCAGTCTTTAGTCTCTTAAAATGTAAAATAATATACCATGAAAATAATGATGACTATTTCTGAAACAATATTGTCCTGATTGTTTGGGGGATTTTGACTTGCCTCTGGCATTAAATTGCTATTATCAGTATTACTAGACTGTAGCTGTATGTCAGCCAAGTATTGCTTGATGTTCACACTCAAAAACCCTCATCAAAATCACATAAACTAGTGACAAAACTTCCTTACTGACATCTGTTTTTGATCTATTCAGTATTCAGTAAAAGCTGCTGGCTAGAACACGGGGCATATATACAGACTTAATCTCGGGTAACACAGATAAACTGATTCTACAGACTATCACTTAAAAATTCTTGGCAAATTGTGGGGCTAATTCAGGACAGCATACTAAAGTCCAGCTTTGCAGAGACAAGTGACTATGTAAGCAAATGTCATGAGACTTTGTTTGTTCTTTGTTGTGGACTCCAGATCAATACTACCTGTCTGCTATCATGAAAAAATTTAAATGATATTTTACCAATCAGATCTCCCTTTGAGAGGCAAGTTTGATGACTAATCAAGCATCACATAGGAATATGAGTCAAAGTTTGTGCTTCCATTTATGTACGAAAAGACGCCACGAGGTATTTTGTCAAATCCTAATACGGTGGGACCTTTTCCTACATTATTTTCCCAAAGAAGGTATACTGTATAAGCGAAATGCTTAAATAGAAATTGCACATAACTATGGTTATAAATATATATATATATTTATTATTGAAGTATTAGATTCTCCTCTCTCTCTCTCTCTCAAAAAAAAAAAAAAAAAAAAAGGCAATCATGAAATTTGTATAATCTATTTTTCCTTTTCTCATAATCCTTAAAGCAATCTGTCCACATGCACTTTTTTGTCTTATTAAGATTCTGAGTTTAGCACCAGGCTTTCTAGAAGCATTAGATCAGCTTTCAGACAAAATGTACCAGGATACAAGTACAGAAGAAAATCTGACTTTGATCATGCTTTATTCTTGGGATACCTTGTCTCAAAAGTAAAATGAGACCAGGTGAAGATTAGTCCCTCTATCATTAGCACTCTCTGTATTATTAAACTATCCCTGAATTAACCAAGTAACCAATAAATATAATGAAATTGTTGTTCATGTAGAGTCACCTTCAAATGGAAGTAGGGACCATGCACAGTTTGTATTGTGCTGGTTCTCTGTGATAACAATAAAGATAACATTTGATAAAGTTCAGAAAATGTTTCTCGCCAGAACTTCTCACTCTTCTCAACAAACTTGAGTGCTAAGTAATGAATACAGAACAATTGCAAAACTGTTATGAGTGTCGCAAGTCCAGTGTGCTCATGTTTTGCTCACGGGATGGTTTCTTCTTTCAATCTGCTGCTGTTTTTCTTCTTTTCTGGATTTCTATTGATTGGTCTGTTTGCTAACTGTGAACTGCATGTCTGCATGGCACAAAGCAGTCTTCTCTAGAGAAATCCTCCCTGGAGTGAATGACTGTATGGCTCTATTTTGAGTCATTCAATCATGCACTCTAGAGAGAGAAGGCTATGTTGTTAGACATTAAATGCCATGAAAGAATTGCCAATCGAAAAAGCAAAAGCTAATGTATTTCTTGTTTTGTAATAACTGGCAAAGATTTATCTTCAAAAGTGAAATAAAGTAAAAAAGATACATAAAGAGCTCAAAAAAAAAAAAAAAAAAAAAAAAAAAAAAAAAAAAAACACCTGAAGATCAAACCATGGAGGAGATGCACTTAATCCTTAGGACACTGAAAAAAATTTGAAAAAAAATATATCCAACAGCAATTGCGAGTAGTGCTAAAGAACACAGAAGAAGAAAATGCAGCCAGAATCGTGTGTGGGGGCAGAGAAAGTAATAATACGCTTGAAGCAAAACAAGGAAAATAACATATTTCAAACAGCCAGCAGCAGCCAGTGCCAATGTACAGGTCTTTGTTCCCAGAGCTGTGCGGTATCAGCTAGGAAGAATGGCGTATAATATAGCCAACAGCCTTAAAGGTCACTAACTGAAAAGCAAATTACATATTCTTCTGGAAAACCTACAGATGCTGTATAAAATGCAATAACAAATAGGAACTCATATTTCAATAACAATAAAAGGCAGAGGCTGCTTAAGGAGAAAAACAAAGCTGAAGTACACAGTTCTGATGCCAGTGTATTCTCATCAAAAAGGAGATATCACAGAATCACACCACAGCCAAATTGCCTTTTTATTTGCTTTCTAATATGTGAGAACTATTTCATCAGATCTTGTTACTATTATCTTGATATTGAATAACTCACTATGCTCCTGTGCTGTATGATACTGTTCTTTCTCCATGTCGTCCTCAGGACACAATGACAAAGAAAAACGTTAGCAAAGTTTATGAAGTTCTGGTGTGGACAGTCCCCGTGATACCCCAATGATAATGAGAGGGGAGTCTCAGCTTAATGCCAGCCTACTGGTCCTAGTGTTGATCAATGATCAACACATCCACAATGTTTTCTTTGCCAGAAAAAATTATCCCCACAAACTGGTTTGTGCCAGTCATATCCCAGCCCCATCACTCAGGGTTTTGTACTTCTCAAAATCAGGTATGATGTATTTCATTATGCATTCAGCATAATAGTAAATCCAACTGGTAACTAACAGATATCACTGGGCAATACTACATAAATTTCTCGGCTCTCTGGTGATTTTTCACTGCTGAAAAATAAGTGGCTGTTAAGAGAACAGAACAAATGATGTAATTCACACTGACATGAAGTTAACTCAGCATTTCTGCTATTTATTAGATTCCTGGCATATGCTCTGTCATTTGTCCAGGAAAAATATCTGTGGGGCAAGATGAAAGGTCTGTGGTTATTTGACTCCTGAAAATCTTTGGCAAAGAGTTGTATTTCTCTTCTTCATATACAACATAGTTTAGGCTGGGGTTATTTTTTGTTTGTTTGCTTGTTTGTTTTGTTTTTTAATCTATTATATATTGTAATATTTCTTGATTAGGAAAATACATGTGAAGACATTGCAGTATTGTGATAATTGTATTGTGACAATAAAAACATTAGTGAACACAGACAATCGCTTGAAGTACTATTGTGTTTCACTCTTTTACTCTCTTGTTTGAAATATCCCTCCTGTGCGTACTGAACATTACCTTTTCCCAGGCCATGTCTGCAGTATTCTTCCAGACAAAGAGTGACAGGTTGTCTGACTTTGAAGTTCAGTTTGATTTCCATGAACTGCTTCCAGATTATGGACTCAGTGACTGTCTGAACCTCTCTCTAGCTCTTCCTACTTCACTTTCCCAGGAATAGCAACATGCTTCTACTTCTAAAAATCTATGAATGTTATGAACCACAAAACTTTTTTATGTCAGAAACAATTTTAGTCATAAACCAGTTCAATGTGGGAAAAAAAGTAGGTTTACTGTCCATCAGAAATGGATGGCTCCATAAGCAATGCATCCATTAGCAGGGCTGCTGGCTTTCCATCACATACTTCATGTCACTCATTTCATCTGCATAGCTGGCTTTGACATTTCTTAAGAGATTTCTCCAATTAAAATGGATCTGAATGTGTCTGAATGTGTTTGGTATGAGTAATCTGAGAAATATTTCTCAAACTTGTTTTACAGTATCTTCAACAGCATATAAACAACTAGATGACTGGATTAAAAAGGAGGAAAATGAGAGAGCTTTCTCAGCCGCTGATTTACAGACTGCTGCTGCTTTATGCTGTATGGAGTGCAAGCAACACAACAAAGTGGAAGAGACACCTTGGTAAAGAGGTACCTTGTGAGAAGATAACATTTGTGCTACAACGCATATTACATATGCTGTCTATTCCATGATTCCTATTTTCCCTTTAAAAAAGTGTGAGGTTGACAGCAGTGAAAAAGGGAGTCAGCACTCTGCAGAACATGGACTAGGAAAATATCTGCTTCAGAATAAAAATTAGGCCTGTCTGTTCACTTTCTAAGATTTCTATTTCTGTGCCATTTTTATGTGACATTTTTTTTTGCACTTCCTGTACTGCATACATAAGATTTTGGGTTTAAGTTCTTTTAAGTCCGATGAATTACAAATGAATCTCAGAGCTATTTCAATCTCAGATGACTCACTTTTTGGCCAGTTTTTGAATGGTGTAAGATGTTGAGGCTGCTTAGTGCAATAATTCACTTCCTGGATTAAAAAGAAATGAAGAAAAAATGAGGACAAAATCATAATTGGGTAAACATATGTAATTATAATACTTGATTCTCTTCTAAAAACATTCCTTTCTGTAGCTGTGTTGCTATGCAAACTAAGACATCATAGATAAAAACTTTCATTTAATTCAGCATAGCAAAATGAAGGAACAAACTAATTCAGAAGCAGTGTAAAGGGTCTGATTTGCTCCATCTTTCTATTGCTTTTAGCAGCAAAGTCCACGGTCATATAATTTCTCTTTTACTGACATTGATCTCCGAGATAGTTCATCACAAGTTTCCCAGAAATTCCAGATCTGTTTTCTTTCCAAAACACTCAAGTTGGATGTGACAGGTATGCTTTGGATGGAGGTGGAATTTGGGTGGAGAAAGATGTTGAAAGGTCAAGAGAAGTTTAAGGGGAAAACAGCCACTCTAAACACATCAGTATTCATGGAGTTTGGCAATATTCAACTAACCACTGAGGCCTAAAGTTTATATCTCATTTCTGTGGCTAAAACCGAGGAAGT